GATAAGTATTTTGTTGTTTTATTGAATTGCATTGTTAAATTATTGTATACATATGGTATATAATATATATATATTATATAATATGTAATATGTATTATGTAATACATTCCTTTTGCTAAGATGGTAGCGAGAATAAAATGAAATGTGCAGTCCGAAATTTTACAAATAATAGGGCCTGCGTTAATGAATTGAACAAAGTTTGAGTAGGTAGTATTGAGTTGATCCATTTAACGGGCGACGAAGTGCACGGGATCAGCTAGTTATTAAATAAATATAGGTACTAGGCAGTGTTGGGTAAGTTATTTTTAAAAAGTAATTTCGTTACCTACTCAAATAAAATTGTAATGAAATTACTTTACTTTTCAAAATATGAATCATATAATGAATATTAATTATATGAATTGTATGAGTTATATGAATTATATAATATATACATATAAATACATTAAAATAATGTGATTTGGATATTTGTTATCAAATACGAAAATATAGGCTATTATTAGTTTTTTCTGGGGCCAGGGACCTCTGCAGTCTGCGGGCCGGTGATCGACACACCAAACCACCCCTGGTTGTTGTGTCACTGTATTTATGCGACTATGATATTAATATTATCCTATGATAATAATATTATGATAGATATATGTATAAGAACGTATGATTTTAACGTTTTTCTATATCGAATTAAATTTTACAAGAATAAATAACAATTGATCCTCACTTCAATATTAATGATTAATATATTTTTAGGCATTTGTTGAAGACCCCATATAATATACAGCTTTAAAATTAAAATATCAAAAAATCCATCTAGAGAACATTTCAGCATACCTAATAGTATGTTCGTTATAAGCTATAAAAAATACCCACCTATAGGTAGATACATCTATTGTACCTAGGTGTTATCTTATATAATATATCATTAATATTTAATAATGAGATATCAATTAAATTGAGAAATGTTTATCGATTATTTATGATTATCTATTACATCCGTTTAATGATATTTTATATTCATGTACATTGTACTCAGGTACGGCCAAGTGCAATCCAACGTGATTCGTCCATTTGATGTACCTAGAAATTCTAATATACAGGGTGATTGTATTTAAAGTTTAAACAACACACTAATATTTTTTTAAATTTCTACAATTTAAAAAAAATATGATTTTGCACATGATTTGAAATGCTAACAATACCTAGCTGTATACCTTTCGTTTCTTGTTGTAAGTGTAATGGAAATTGCCCAAAAGTGGGCTGGATATCTTCTGAAATGTATACTCCACTCGTCTAAAATTAACTATCTACATAGGTAAGTTAAATTGAATGAGGCTTGCATCATCATAATAATATTTAAAAAAAGGATTTTATGGATATAGGTAGGCATAGGTGCAAATAGTGTTTGGGATTTGGGGGGGGGGAGGGGGGTGCTACAGCTTTACTTTGATATTATTGAATAAGCTTAAAAATAAAATGTAGGAAAGGTTTGTGGGGCTATGGAAATTTTTGGGGAATTAGCTCCAAAAAGGCCCACCCCCCTATTGCGCCTATGTAAGTAAGTGAGTATACATGATATCTTAAATATAAAGAGTTTACTTTATTTACGAGTTGTCTTCGGCATATTTAATTTGAAACATTAAAAATCAATATAAATAACTGTAGTAAAAAATTAGATTCATGGAGTCAACGATATAATTATATTATATTTAAATTGATGACAAGTACACAAAAAAAAAAAATTAAAATAGCTACATTGTTAGTAGGTAATTTTTTGGGCGCATGTAAACTCCACCGATTGCGACCTTTTTAGACCTTTTTTCATGTAAACTCCACCGGTACGTTTTTTTTATCTGAAAAAAAAATGTAAACTCCACTGGTACATTTTTTGGGTAGAACCCGATTGCGTACGATTTACCTTTTTGGGAACACGATTGCGTATGTTTGCTGTATATAACAATGGAAACCCGTAAAACGATTGCGTATGCAACGTTGCCAAATTTATAAATATACAAAAAGTTCACCATGTATTATGCACAATATACATATATTTCAATGATCTTCAATATAAAAGTAAGTTCAAAAATATATAAGAAAAAATCTAAGCATTATTTAAAATAAGCAACGATATAAACTGTTTATGAGAATCGTCATTTTAAATTTTCAATCCTTAGCTATACAAATTAAAAACTTTATAATTTTTAACTACGTTCACATCAAGTAAGGGTAGTATATATAAAAAAAAAAAAAGCTACGTTCTAAAAATATTGATGACAATACAATAATACTAATAATAATAATAAGATATAAAATAAAATAAGTTGTACGTTTTAAAAAATTGTCAATACAAACATCGATAATCACGATAATCATTTGATATTTCCAGTTTCGTCTATATGTGACTTCCGGCTAGCATGACAACGTTGCACAAAAATAACGTACGCAATCGTGTTATGAAAAAGGTTGAAAAAGGTACCGCCGATAAGCAGCGTACGCAATCGTGTTCCACCCATTTTTTTTACCTGAAAAAAAAATGTTAACTCCACTGGTATGTTTTTTTTTAAATTGTAATCCAAATCCAATCTGATTAACTAAGATTACATAATTTATGTGGGTGCAGTTTTATTATAATATATTTATTGTATTTAAATACAATGATTTAAAAAAAAATATATAAAAATCAAATAGAAAAAATAGAAAAATCTATAATTATTAACATTACGTTATAGGTAATACGTTCCTACATAATTTATGTACAGATTTATTATTTATATATATTATATTTAGATACTTATATCTTTTTTTACACAATATTAAAATAAATGATATAATAATAATTAATAGTGATCACTAGTTCGTAGTTAAAATAATGTTAATTAAAATAAATGAAGATAAAAATAATTACTTAAAGAAAATTTAGGTTTTAAAAAAATTTGTTTGGTTTTAAAATTTGGTTTGATAATGTTTAGATGCAGCTTTGACGAATTGCATAGTGGTAATATTGTTTGCCTTAAATGACGAAATGATGGTGTTTAAATATTTTAGGCGTGTCTTTGATTGTGAATTTCTAAGGTTATTAGGTTCATTAATACTGTTTAATTTAATGTAAGTGAATGATTGAATATCTAGTAGAGCTTTTGTAAAGTGATGTATATTTGGATGTGTGTTAGCAAAGGACTGAGCTAAATGTGAGTGAATCGACTCGCATGCATTCGTAGTTAAATTCAATTCAGCACTACATTGAGCCCAAATATTTGGTGGAAATAATGCTTCTTCTGTAATGTTTAAGATAAGTCAGTCGAAAGTTGATGTGTATACACTACACATATAGTTTTAATCTGTGGATTTTACCATCGGTGGAGTTGTATCTAAGTAAAACAGTAAGTTTTGATGAATGGCAGAATTAGTGGATTAACACTTCCATGGTCCACTTAAATAATCTACACTTAATATATATTAAACAATAAAAAAAAAAGATTTTCATAAACATAAATTTAGTTGTTGAAACACAATAATGATTTTTTTGATAAAAGAATCTTACGGTATAATGCCATACGGAAAGCACGCCGTATTAAGTGTGTGGTATAACGAGTTATAATATGTTAGACCTTAGATAATAATATACGTGATATGGCGTCAGTAGTGTGGTTGTTGAGTAGTTGTGTTATTGTAGCCTCACTTGTAACCTACTGTACACAGGGGCGTCATTTCAGTTTTCATTAGAGGGGAGCAAAGGTTTTGACTGGTCCGAACGGGTAAAAAAAACGGCACGCTTCGCTCGCAAACACATTTTATCTATTTACATTTTTTTATGGTACCCTTTTTATCAACTATGTAACGTCAATTTTAAAATATAAGGTAGCAATTATTTTATAAAAACAATTGTATACCTACCTATATAAATTAAAAGTCTACAAACTATTATGGTGATATTTTATTGATAAACAAAAATATTAGTAGTTTATTAAAGGATAGGTATCTTCATTTTTAATTTTTGAAAATACATCAACTCCATCATCTATAAATCAGTCTTATTTGATTCATCACGTCTTATAGAATATACTCAATGGGTATACGATATATTTACAAATTCATATTATTTTAAATTATAATATATTTTTATTTATTGCTTGCTTACTGGTTTAAGTTTCGTCTGAAATCAAATATAACCATTTTTAAATTAGCTTGTCTTCTTTCCAGAGGTCTAATCTACACACAAATATTCATTTATTTATAATATATATAAATATAAATAAGTATTGACAAAAAATAATAATACAAATCAACAAACATGCCCGATTAACCAATAATAGCAACCAATAAAATATAGTACACAGTTGCGCCACTGTTGTATTTTTACATCCAGATTTCCCACTTTTCCGATAGATTTTTCTAAAATTTTCTTTCGTAAAAACCATGGACTAAGATATAATGGACTGGAAAGTATGTACAAGACTACAAAAGGCAAATGCAGGAGATCGCTATTATAATCGAGATTTTACAGCACCATCAGTATAAAACACGTAATGAGATACAAAATGTGACTCTAAATAAAACCACTGGTAGCGCTGAAAACATTCGATTATGAGTGTTGATGAAAACAGAGGAACCTTTTGAGGGCCTTCACCCGTCACCCGCCCACAGCGGCGGATCTGAAGCTTGGTTAAAGGGGGGGGGCGAATTTCGAATAGGAATATCCATGAGTAATATACAAGTACAATGAGTATGGTCAAACCTGGTGGGTGGAGGGGGTCACCACCCCCAGAAATCCGTATATCAATCCGGATCAAATTTTATAATCCGTATACTATAAAATTATCAGTATACATTTTTTCAACCCCTCCCCCCACCAAGAAAAAGCATTTCCTGCTGTTGCCCCGGCAATGAAGACTTGACCGTAGTTCAAGTAATTTATGGAAAAAGAAGTACAACACTTAAAATTAATTGTAGGTACCTTTATTTGTTTTAAATAGCTATTACAATGTATTGTTCAAAAATAGGTATAATTATAATAATAATTGTACGTTTCTTTTTTTTTCATTTGCAAATCTATTAATTACTTCTTCTATGTTTACAATAATATCTTTATGCGTGTGCAATAAAGCCAAGCCAGTCAGCCTATGTTCGCCCATTCGCGATCTCAACCATGTTTTTAATCTACAAATTAAAAACAATAAGAAATAAACAAACATGCAAAGCATTTTGGAATTTAGATGCAGATATTTTCAACTTAAATTAAAAAGCAAAATTTTATTTTTATCATTAGTTATCTGACCTGCGCAAAGTCGAAAAGCTGCGTTCAGCGGAAGCAGTACTAATTGGCAAACTAGCAAGTATAGAAATCAAGGATTTAATTGTTGGGAAGATTATCCCACAACATGCATCCAAAGTATCAAAAACATTTTTTGGTAATATATCACCTAAAATGTACAAAATAAATAAATTGCAAAGCTAAATATTTTTTAAAACTTAACATTCATTTTTGATTGTTACCTACCTTTTAACTCTGATTTTTTCCATTTTTGTATCCATAACTCAAGTTCTGAATTTAATAAGTCATTATTGACCTCTTGAAAAAATGGATATTTATCTTTAATGTATTTAACAATAATTGAGCTACTATTAGTCTCAGACCATTGAATTAAATTGTTTGGTACTAGATATGTTAGCATTTTTATAGTTTAATTTTCTTGGCCATAAAATCTTTTTTCTAAGTCAGTTATTACCCAGTCTAGGAGCGGAATGAAAATTGTAATTCTGATATAGTCTTCACAATTATTTATGTTATTCGGATTTGATCTATTTTTTTGATGAGCTGACACCCTAGGCATTTTCAAATGAATGTCCAATTCATCCATCAACATTTTGCATTCATTATAAATGATTTGAAACGTTGTATTACAGTTTAGGCGATTGTTTTTAAGTACAGACACTATATCATCTATAACATTACTAGCTGATAATATATCATGGTTTATTCCTTGTAATAATTTACTAGCATGGAATGTAACTGAGAGTACAGATGATAAATAATATATTGAAATAACAAACTCACAGTTACTTATCGAGCATAAAAGTGTTTTTGCTTTGGAAGATGATGATAAATCTTCCCAGTTAGTTATCTCTGTTAAAGCATCAATAATTTCGGGTAGTGACTTTTTAAATTGCAAATATTCATAAAAATCACCAAACAGTACCAAATAGGATTTACTAATTACAAATATTATAATCATAAAAGTGAGAAAAATAATCACACTATCACAGATAATTTCTATGTATAAATCATAGATATATATAATATTAATAATATAAATCTATGGTATAAATACTATAAATAAATAAGTCATTGTCTGATAACGTTGTTATCATTATTATCATGAAACATAAAGAGAAAAAAAGAAAATAATAATTAATAATTATTAATTATTAATTTATTTTCAAACATTTGTTTTTACCTATATCAAAATGTTAGGTAAACTTTTGTATTTATTCTGATTTGGAAAACTTAATCGTGATGAAAGAAACATTTGGGTTTTTATTAATTAACTTACAACAACATAGCCACATGGCTAAATATTTTAATTCAAATTTCAAAAATATAGTGTCTTAACTCTTAAGTATATACCACTTATATTTCAATTAAATGACGTTAAAACTTGTTTCACTATATCTGATAGAGGCTATCAAACACAAAACAATATATTGACTGAATAGTGAATAACAATTAAAACAATTTCTGTTTCGCATACAGGTGCATGCCATGCGGACGATGTTAATTATTTGTTAAATAGTAAACTATCTGGGGTCGTTCCAAAACCCAACTCTCCGGAACTCGAAATGTGTAAGATGATGGGTAAGATGTGGTCCAATTTCGCGAAATCTGGGTATGTTGAATTCGTATAGTTTATTATTAATATTATGATTCCGTCACAATGTGACTGGATGTGTATTAACGCACGTTCGATTTGGTTTGATTTTAGTGATCCAAATTCGTCAGATTTAAGTTTCAAATGGGTTAACGCGAGCGCAAGTGATCCAAAATATCTGTCAATAGATGGAGAAAGGACACGTATGGCCGAAGGGATGATAAACAGCAACAGATTACGTCTTTGGCAAGAGATATCGGAATCCGTTGTTTAGGCGATAACCAAAATAATTATTTTCTTCAATCATACTTAATTATTATAATATATACCTTCACATAGTTTTGGAAAGTATTCAAATAAATGTATTCAAATATTAGATTCTGAGTGAAACGATGAATGTATTGATTTTACAATGATGTGTGTTTTTTTATTTTTTATTTTTTTATTTTTTTATTTTTTTTGTATCTGTGTACACGATAAGTAGTCGAAATAATGCTTCGATTTTCGACTTCAGTATCTTGTTCGATTGGAAAGTGAATATCGTTGGTGCATTGGGGAGGTCAAAATTTAAATTTCCCAGTAGTTTTCACAGGCGCCGGGAAAAACAACATAAAAATTAAGGAAAAACGGGAATTTTTACGCAAAATTGATTTTCCAAAAAATCGATTTTGGTTATTGGTGTAACTCTAAAACAAATGAACGTATATACATGAAATTTTCACTGGTTGTTTATATTTGCATTTTCTATACACGATAACATTTTCAAAATATTTTGATTTATTTTGAACTGTTTAGGGACATTTTCATTTTCCATTTTTTTTTAGTTTTTTTTCTAAAAATTTCAATAAAATTTTATTTGTTGGTTGCGAAAGCTTGAAAATTTAATAGAAGGCTCCTAATATGTTTTTTCAAAGGCAGATGAAAAATATTAAAAATCCTTAGTCACAATTTTTTTTTATAAGCATTTAAAGTTCAAAAATTGACAAAATATGGAAAAATCACGAAAATTAGCAAATTATTTTGAGTTAAGAATTCGTAAAAAATTTTCTTTTTAAATCTAAGATTTGAAAATCTAATACAAGATTACTCATAAGATTGTCTACCTTTATCAATAAAAAAATTTCTACCGGAAAGTCAAATTAAATTTTTATGAGCGTTTGAAATTCAAATTTTTACAACATTGGATATTCACTCGATTTCTCATGTGGCAATTTCCTTTTTTTGTTGTAATTAAAAAACGAATTACTGTAGATACATGAAAATTTCACTGAATGTTTATATTAGCATTTCCTATACACCCTACAATTTTGAAAATATTTTGACACTTTTTGAGCCGTTTACGGACATTTTCAGTTTTCAATTTTTTTAGTTTTTTTTTTCTATAAATATCAATTAAGTTTTATCTGTTGGGCCAAAAGGTGTAAAAATTTAATACAAGGCTCCTGATATATTGTTACAATATCAGTTGAAAAATATTAAAAATACATAGGCACAATTTTTTTTTATAAGCATTTTAACATCGAATTTTGATAGAATTTTTCAAAATCTCGAAAATTATTAATCATCGTAATTAATAAATTATAAAATGTTCAGTTTTTATAGCTAAGGATTGAAAATTTAAAACAAGATTCCACGTAAGTAGTTAATTCTCTTACCGAAAAATCTAAAAATATACAATCACAGTTTACTTTTATAGTCATTTTATGTTCAAATTTGGACGAAATTACATATTAAAAAACCTAGTTATTTTGTTGTGATTATATAATATTATTCGTGGGTACCTACTTGAAACTTCTAAAGTGTACTATTATATATATATGATAGTATCAGGGTTTGTTGTTGATGTTGATGTATAACGTGTTATAAGTACCTAATGGATATTGTGATAATGTGATATGATTAATTTGGAATTTATTATAGGTCAATTTTTTTTTAATACCATAGATATGTATATAATTTGTATGAAACCTAGACTGACATACCGTCTTCGCTCAGAATCGTTTTTCTTATACAATGATATTGTATCATTGAATTCAAATTTAATAGCATCCATTATACAGTGACCCACTTGTAACCTACTGTACAGAAGAGCGACATCCACTTACCCACCTTTTTTTTTATTTGAATATTTTAAATAATTTTTGAAAAAACTATTCGAAAACCATAATTTCGGTTTGCAGCATGTATCATAAACATAATATGTAACATAATATTATACGAACTAAATAAACAGTTGAAAACTTATAAATAGCTTAACTTTAAATGATACTTCTTTAACAAAAAGAAAATAAATATAAAGAATTTATCTGTTCGACCCGGATCCATGTCAATAGATAGTGGTCAATTGATAGCGCGACAATAGATAGTGGACAATAGATCGCGCGACAATTTATAGTATATGACAATTGATAGTATACGACAATTGATAGTGTTATGACTTATTTATTAACAAAGTTGTCAATAATTAAAAAAATATTACATATACCTAATAAAAAAATTCGAATAAAATTTTGTTTCTTCACAAATAAACTTAAACAAAGTTGTCAATAATTAAAAATATAATATCGTAAATAATCATCTATACTTCTATTATTATAATCACTACATATATTTTTAAGTTTTTTTGCTCGATCATTGTATTTTTTTTTTGATGGTGGTTGATTTCCTGCAACTAGTTGTTCAACTTTCAATCGATTGACACGTTCTTCTTTTTGTAGTGCAGTAATAAATTTCCATATAGATGGATGAATCGATGAATTCAACATTGACGAAAAGCAGTTATGCCAGCCCTCCACTGAATTATTTGTTTGAGGCAAATCTGCTTCCACAAGAGAAAAACAGTTCCAAATTTGAATATTGAATTTTGGTTCTCTACGATGTCTGCGTTGTAAACGTCCAACCCAATTACTTTCAAAATAGTCAATAAGTGGTGTTAAAAGCTCCTCGTTGGTTGAAAAATAATTAGTCTCAATTAGAGTTTCAAATGATTCAATAACGTCTTCTTGAGGTACGAATGCTAAAGCTGGTAACATGCGAACATGTAGAGCGAAAAATAAGTTAATTCAATCAAATAAAATTAATTAATTTAGTATAACTAAAATATAAAAGTAAATATTGTCGAAAACGTGGTCAAAAAACACTATCAATTGTCATATACTATCAATTGTCGTATACTATCAATTGTCGCGCAATCTATTGTCCACTATCTATTGTCGCACTATCAATTGACCACTATCTATTGACGGTATACCGTTCGACCCAACATACCAAAAAACATAACATGCTGCTATCGGAGAGTCATATATTCCACTTGTGTTTTTTTATGAACTAATAAAGAAACAGAAACACACTTACGTTTATGTAAATGTATTCAAATACTTTTTTTATTCAAATATTTTAAATAATTTTTGAAAATTATTCAAAAACTAATTAAATCATTCGAAAACTATAATTTCGGTTTGCAGTATGTATCGGCACCTAACATAATAATATACGAACTAAATAAACAATTTGCTGTAAATGTGCACAATGTTCGATGGGAAAGTGAATCTAGTTGGTACTTTTGGGAGGTCAAAATTCAAAATTCCCAATAGTTATCACAAGCGACAAGATTAACAAAAGAAAAATTAAGGAAAAACGGGAATTTTTACGCAAAATCGATTTTTCACAAAATTGAATTTGGTTTTTGGTGTAACTTTAAAACAAATGACCGTAGACACTTGAAATTTTCACTGGTTGTTTATATTTGCATTTTCTATACACTATAACATTTAAAAAATATTTTGATTTATTTTGAATTGATTAAGGATATTTCATTTTCCATTTTTTTTATTTTTTTTTCTAAAGATATTAATAAAATTTTATTTGTTGGCTGAAAAAGCTTGAAAATTTAATAGAAGGCTCCTAGTATACTGTTCCAAAGGCAGATGAAAAATATTAAAAATCCTTAGTCACAGTTTTTTTTTCTAAGCATTTAAAGTTCACAAATTGACAAAATATGGAAAAATCACGAAAATTAGCAAATTATTTTGAGTTAAAAATTCGTAAAAATTTTTCTTTTTAAATCTAAGGTTTTAAAATGTAATACAAGATACCTCATAAGTTTGTCTACCTTGATCAAAAAAAAAAAATGTCTATATAAGAAAGTCAAATTATATTTTTATGAGCGTTTTAAATTCAAATTTTTACAATATTGGATATTCACTCGATTTCTCATGTAGCGATTTCCTTATTTTGTAGTAATTCAAAAACGAATAACTGTAGATACATGAAAATTTCACTGAATGTTTATATTAGCATTTCTTATACACCATACAATTATGAAAATATTTTGACTCTTTTTGAGCTGTTTACGGACATTTTCAGTT